AAGTCATGGTTGAGTAGATGATGTTTCCAGATTTGTTGATGGACCTGCAAGCAGTGTTCAGAAATTTTGTATATTATGATCATAGCTCTTGCATTGTGAACATCTACGTCGTTGATTGCCTTCCCCAACAGATGAAATCCTTTTTCTCTTAGGTCTTCCTACTTGATCTCGCCAAGTTGGTGGCAAAATGACAATTTGTTAAACGTCATAGGGGATGTCCCACTCACTAGGATGCCCAATTAGGTGAATGGGAATCACATATCATTCTACCTAAAACAAAGTCTTGTAATAGCCCGAGAAGAATTCAATGGCTGCACGTTTGCACTTACTGCCAAGACAATGAAATCACAATTGGTGAACAATTTAAAATTTCAATTCATCATGCCAAAATAAGAAAACATGAGTATTCATACCTTATTGCCTCCATGGCATGCTTGTAGGGGAGTATATCAATCTAGAACTCATTGCATGAACACATCTTGGTGGATAGGTTGATGACTCTATCCTTAGTCCCACCTATAACTTGGAACTCCATTCGATCAATTGGTTGTATGGAAAAGTGACATGCTTCATTGAACCATGTGTTCAACAGATCGGTAGCCCAATGGCTGAGGATACCTTAGTCAAATTCAATGTCTCCTTGTGCCAAACATGGAACCAACATTAGATCATGCCTTTGATGCACTTGATTAGGATGGTTATTGACATTTTTCTTGCTTCCCTCAGACATGAGTTAATACACTTCACAATATTAGATGTCATGAGCTTGTAGCGCCTTACTGGTGACTATACACGTACCCATCTCTCAAGATGTAATATCATAAGGCGATTGTAAGTAGGTTTGCAAAGCTGTTTCAGCTGATTCATATGTTTGTTAAAATCGATGAGCTTGTAGCAGTTGGCGGCTAGGGTGAAAATCGTGGCAACATCTTCACCCTTAAACCTTTTTTCCAACATTTTCCCTTAAGAAGTAATTTCATAGACCGTGGTACGAGTAATATGACATTTTTGCAATTGCATTCTTAATGCCAAGATGCTAATTAGAAATGAACATTGCATTTTCAGGAACGCCAATCGCATGACGCAATTGGGTAAGAAACCACGACTAAGACTCTTTGTCGTCCACGTGACTAATGCCAAATGCAACTAGATATATTTGCTCATTCACATCTTTGCATACTACAACAAATAGAATACCCTTGAATCTGACTTTTAGATGTGTGGTATTGATAGCAATTACAAGCTGCATTATAGGACTAAACCTTCAGATACATGCCCCAAATGCCTAGAAACAATATTTGAATAGTTGTTCCCCATTTGTAGTAATAACTATGATAGTATCGGGATTTTCACATTCTAACATATGGAAATACGAGAGGAAGAGTTGGAATAACTCCTCTGAGGGACCAAAAATAAGACTCTCTGCATAGTTTTTCGCTTGCCAAGTCTTACTATATAGGCAATGTAATCCTCACTTACAATTTATCTTTTCCATTATTTCTTTAGGTTTCAATAGGGTTACATTATTTCCTTGCAACCTGAGGGAGATAAGCTCACCAATTGTCCTCGCACTCATAGTTCGGTACCTACCTTGCAAACCATCAACGATACACGTGTGTACCTTCTAGAACATTCAAATTTGTCAATATTCTCCCTCAGGCAATTTTGTTGCATGCAAAGCAAACTTGCATGCCTTTTCCTTACAAGCATCCTCCAAATGATAGTGACATGACTTTTTAACTATAATCTCAAAATGCTTTTTTAATGCCTACATGCTCAAATCTCATTTTAATTCAGCCTTCGATGGAAACACTTTTTCATGATGTAAGTGGCCGTCGATTAATTTAGACTCCTCAATCGCAACTGTTTGGAAGGATATCATATTTACCATCGGAATAATCCATTGACGAGATAGCCCTGTATTTACCCTCTTTTGATCATTGTCATCAAGCAAACAAATCTTGTTCTCAAGTGTGATGGGGTTGTCGTAAATAGGGTTGTCACCCTCGACATCTTCTAATTCAACAATTGTGGCATGGTTATCTCATTGAAGCTCTTTTAACACAACAGTTATGGCATGTTCTATACTACCATTTGCATGATTGTAATCTAGAATGTAGTTGTGCTCGCTCTTGTCATCTGTTGAACAATTATCATGTCCACCAATGTAATCATCTTCACAATTGTCCTCCAACTTATCATTCCAATCCATAATGTCATCCTCTTCAACATCATCTTCAATTTGATCAGATGCATCATCATCACTCACAACCATCATATGTCATTTGCAAATGGCAATGGAACCACTACATTTTTGAGCCATGGTTGCATTTGTTGCAAAGTACCAAGTATTTCATTCTATACACATTTCGATCAAAATTGTGTAGACATCATTTGCAGACACTTCATGTGTGTACCACTCTGCTCAAGCTCAAACTCATGTGTATATGTCAATGGTGATTGCCATTGTTGTTTATTAGGAAATGCATGGTGTGGTATGTCAAAATAATTAACATTTTATTATAGGTGATTACTATGTTAAACACCATGTTCATGTGAAATATCATTTGCATTTCGTGCCTTAACTGTCACAAACACAACAACTAACTTATCATCTCGCAGAATACTTGCTACATCTTCATTGCCTTTGATCACTACGCATAAAACCCCAGCGACATAACTAAGTAATGCATGTAGCTTGATTTCGTTATTATGTGAGTTGACCCCAACAACCTCTTCAACCAGCTTCACTAGGCTCGAAAATGGCAAATGATTCCTAACACCCCTCACTCGTGTCTCACCCCCTTGTAAATGTCATCGATCCAATAACTACCGTATGTAATTATAAGCTTCATATTTGGTAGGTCATTGAAATTTAACAAAAAATAAGTGTCACAATCAGTCAATTTATCAAAAATTACCCCTTAATGGAGAAAAACCACTTACGCAATGCCTAAGTCAAGAATAACACAAAGTCAGTTTCATAATGTCTAATACAAATTCACGTAATACCTCAAAACTAGTGAAGAAATGCCACAAAACAAGAGATTCATTACACAAGTCATGCATCGCCAATCTCACAATACTTAATAATAAGTCACTCAATGCTTAATATTCACTCACGTTATGTCAAAATAACCAGTTACGTATTGGCCCAATGTCACCCAACATATAACAAGTTAGGGAATACATAACATAACAACTAGTCATACAATACTTAAAAAGTACTCAAGATATGTCTCAAAACAAGATATACATTGCATAATTCACGTAACGCCTATAAGCTAGTCTCACAATACCTAATAATAAATCACGCAATGCCTAATATCTACTCACGTTATGCCAAAATAACCAACACACATTGGCCCTATGTCACGCAATGCATAAAATCCAGTCATGGAATACATAACAACCAGACATGCAATGCCTTATATCCATTCATGCAATGGATAATATTCATTCACTTAATGCCTATAAATAAAATAATATTCTAACTTTTGTCATCATACCTTTAGTCTCTTATAGAAATAGAAAATTAAGAAATTAGGATAAGTAATCAAGTTATTTAGCATAATAGAAATTAAAGGCAGTAACTCATTTTATGAAAAATATAAGATAAATCAATATTTTTATTCATTAGCTGAAAAAAAAAGATGATACAGCATATGAACCATAATTCATTTCTTCCTAATCTCATCTACTATGCCATAAATTTCAATTAGAATCTTGTTAATGTATAGAATTTCTGTCCCCAGGACTTCTGTCCTAAGCAACACCTTATCCATCAACCCACACATTTCCTTCTCCATGTTCTTAATTTGGTCCATCAACTTGACCAAATGTGCTGCAATATTGTCGGAGATATCTTCCTCTTCAGCAACAACCCCCTTCTTAATGTCGTCTCTAGAACGTTTGGAAGCCATGAGAATTTTGAGATTTTCCTTTAAATGATTTTGATCAAAATTGATAATGGTTCTCTTTATATATAGGTATGAACGTTGACTCTTAAAAAGGTTTTCAATGGTTTTAGGCTTGTTTTCTGATGAATATAGTGAGTTCGTAAATTGATGCAATAAGTACTTTAAAGAGAATTTCAAAGTTCTGTGTACGTTGAATCTGGATGGTTTTTTGCACCAATATAAGTGGAATTAAGGGGCTGAATTAGTAGATAATCAACTTCAACATAAGGTAGATAAAGCAACGTAATTGTTAAAAACCAATTATGCAATGCCTACTAACTAATCAAGTAATTTATAAAACTTCGTCACGCAATGCACAACTTACACAATTCTTAAAATCTAGTCTCACAATGCCTCCAATTGAGTCCCACTTTATCTAATATTCAGTCACATAATGCCAAATAAATAGGTTACGATTCTTAATAATCAGTCATGCAATGCTTAATATCCAGTGATGCAATGCTTAATAAATATTCACGCATTACTTATGAACTGATTGATTTCGTTACTCCCAATTAAATTTAAGTTTTCAAAATCATATAATTTATCCATCAACTTTTACGTTTTATAAATATTAAAAATAAACTCAAGAACCCATAACATATACCTTGATATCACCTTTGCATTTTGAGATGGTGAGAAAGTTATATGGTGATATAGACTTCGATGTTGTTGGAGAGTTAGATGGTGAGATATAGACCTTGATGGCGTTGGAGAGCTAGACTGGATGACTAGGTATAAACCCTGATGGTATTGGAGAGTTGGACGGTGAAATAGTTAAATTGATATTTATTTTTGAAAGTTTTATCTGAATAGTAAGAGAGGAGAAAGAAACGAAAATAACTTAATTTGAATTAAATGGTTTAAAGGGTATTCTTGTTAAATCATATAAAAAATTATCTAAAAATAATTAAATTAGAGTAAAAGTCACTTTTAAAATAAACTTATTAGGAAAATTATTTTTCATAATTTTCTTTTAAATTATTAGTGGATAATTGTATTATTTAACTATTAAATAACTAATTATGCCATATCCCTTGTCCTATGACGAAGCAAATGGAAGCTGAAAAGAACATTTAGGCAACTGGGAATGGCTTTATGCCGGTCCCTTTTCCTTTACGCACCACTTCATCGTGCCCTTGTTTCAAATCCCACTTGTTTCTTCCCAGAATACTCTTGTTATTCCTCTAAATTTACCAACCGTCGGAAGCCTCAAACGCCATTCTGCCGCACTTGCTGTTCATCGTCCTCCATGGAAGCTCCTCCTCTAGGTTACAGGAGAAATGTGGGAATTTGTCTCATCAATTCCTCCAAAGAGGTCTTTATTATATGCAGCTTTTCCGCTCGATTTATTTTTTGTTGGGTTTAATATTGTACAATGAATTTATTCATTTAACCTTTTTTCTTCTTTTAATTTGTAGATTTTTTCTGCGTCGAGGCTGGATATTCCAAATGCTTGGCAAATGCCACAGGTTTCTTCTTGCAATGTTTTTGTTTCCTTAAAATTGTTTGTCTTTCTAACAGTATTCCTAGTTAACCGGACAGGCTTTGATTACATTAATAAGAACAAATCTTTGGATTGAGGGAGGGGAAGTGGAAACCCTCCCTTGTTTGGATAAATTTAGAACTAGGAGGGAATCCATTTCCCTTGAAAACCCCAAGTTTCCAAGCCTCCAAATCGGCAGGAAACGTTAGTTTATTTCATTAGATTCCTAGGATAAAGTTGACTACAATCGGCAGGGATTTGCCTTATTTATTTATGGCTTTGTTCGGAGATTTAAATTTACATCTGTGTTTGAGGACGTGTAACAGTGCTCTAGATCTTTGTTGAATTTTCCTTGCATTTGAGTTGTGAAAAAAGAAAACCATCAGGAGTGTTTGAAATTTTATAGTATATACCCTGAGAAATTCCTACCAATGGAGTTTCCTGTACTGCAAATGCATTCTCTAAGTCCTCTCCCCTCTTGGCTTTATCTCATTTTCTATCTTGTAATCATTTGATTTCGTTTGAACTGGCTCCTTCTCTTCCTTCATCATCTTTGGGTCCTTTCGAATAACATTCTCGGGTGCTTCCCGCTTCATGGTCCACTTGACTTTAGAAGTTGTGCCTTTTGAATAAAAGAGCTATATATTGCAGTTATCTACACTTCAAAACTTCAAGTTCTATTGCATTAGGAGCTTTTGATGAATGTAAAATTTTAGAAAAAGTTGCATTACATGAGAATTAATGATGCACAGGGTGGGATTGATGACAATGAAGATCCAAAAGTTGCTGCCCTCAGAGAATTAAAGGAAGAAACTGGTGTTAGCTCTGCAGAAGTTCTTGCAGAGGTTTGTTTTAAGATCTCCTTTATTTTTTTTCTCTCATGAATTGCGTTGGTGTTTTCTCCTTTCCCTGCTGGGATTACTAGCTGAAGAGGCTGCTGCACACATGCTGGGGGGGATGGTTTAAGTGCTTTTAGATTGCATTTTCTTCTAGGAAATATAATAGAAATTCACGAAAGTCTGAATGTTCTGATTATTTGGTCTTCAAGATACTAGTCCTACGCACACCCAATTTGTGGGTGAAATTAACGAATGATTTTATTATTTGGGTAAATTTTAAAAGAAGGGACAGATATAAGGATTTATAGTTATCTGAAAATATAAAACAGAGGAGTAGGAGTAACTGAATGTAAGGTTTTTAAGATTGGAGAAAAAATAGGCCCAAATGTGACTTTAAAAGTATGTGGCTCTAATCCCAATTTTCAAGGAAAAGTAAAACAGTAATTTACCCTTACATACATACATGCATACATGCATACATACATACATATATATGTATGTGATTAGTTATTTACGGTAATTGACTTGTGACACTAAACTCAGCCAGTAACTTTATTTATTTGTATAGATTGAATATCTTCTATTTCAAACAGCTTCTTGGGGTAGGATTGAATTTTGTAGTTTCGATATGGGGAGTAATTTCATTTACTATTATTCTTTGACCCGATACTTTTTAAAGCTGTTTCCAAATTAACAAGCTTTGAAACCTAACAGTCTATGTGGGCTCTAATCTCCAGTGCATCAGTGATAATGTAATGGTAGCCCCTAGAATTGATTTTTGAAAGCACATTTCAAATTGAAAACTGAGCAAGTCACAAAACTTTCTGTGCATGGATAAATCCAAATGGTTCATTATCATCTTGAAAATTAATCAGGTATTTGATTGATGGCTTAGCAATACTGGATGTGCTGACACCCAAAATTTGACAAGCAGTCTCTCTAAGAGCTAACTGGTTTGGAAAGAAATGGCATAAAGCTTTTTGAATTATCAAATATGGATTATTTGGTGTGTGTATTTAAGTAATTGACTATTTGGATGAAATCAATGCTCAGACCATCACTCTTATTTCTCAATCTTTACTTTACACTCATTCTTTGGAACCTAATGATGCTAGGCTAAGGTGTGACTTACCTGAAGATAATAAAACTATAAAATAGAGTATGATGCCAAAAAAAGGCTATATTTCTGACTTTGGAATGGTTTGATAGGCAGGATAACCTGCTGTCAGCCTGGTTTTTGGATAGATTTGCTTAGACTGTGATTCAGTTAGAAAAGTTCAGTTGGAGCATTCTTGGTACCAAGGAAAGAAATGCTGACAATTCTTGTATTAATACTTGCAACAGACTGAAATAACTGGTATTTATTGCTTTCTTTATAGAGATTCAACTTCTAGACCAAAAAGTAAAAGAAAATTGAGGGTTTATGCGCTTTTGTTAGTAGTGGTTACATGAACAGTGAGAAAAGGTCTTAGTGGTATTTTGGTTAGAGGTTTTCTCCCTTGTGTACCAATGTCGAACTCCTTTTTACACACATACATAGAAGTCCAACATTCCAACTCTGACATGTTTATCTTCATATTATATTATTGGCAGCTAGTTGGATCTTGAGTTTTACAGTATAAGTGTTCCAAATATAATGCTTTGCATGTGTTATTGAGCTCTACTTTTCTCCATTTCTTTTGAATTCTGCACTTTGGGCATTTCTTATTCATGTCTTACCTGGAGGATCTCCATTTATTGGTTCTGCTATGCAGGCATCATATTGGCTGACATATGACTTCCCACCAGAAGTTAGGGAAAAACTGAAACATCAATGGGGTTCAGACTGGAAAGGTCAAGCTCAAACGTGGTGAGTGCTTGGATTAGCCTTAAAAGTGGGTAGTTTGTGATATAATACATAGGATGGAAAGACAAAACTTAAAGTGGTTGTACTAGGTTGGCAGAGATTGGGGCAACAAGTGATTAAGGGTATTAATGTCTAACTATGCATCAATAAACCCCAATTATCCAAAAATATACATGTATGTATTTATTCATGCAATTATGTCTGTGTGTGTGCATGTCTCTGTCTTACACAGCCATCACACAACTCAATTTTTGATCGGTGAACTTAGAGCGGTCATTTTTTTTTTGCTCTGAATTGGATTTGGTAGTAGTAGAAGCAATATGTGGGCCTGTGTTTTGTTTGTCTGTCTTACACAGCCATTGTTCAACTCAACTTTTGATCAGTGAACTTGGACCAGTCATTTGTGTTTGATCTGAACTGGATTTTTGTAGAGAGCAGAAGCAACTTCAAAGAAGGTTTTATAGTTTATTCTGCAATGCTAATATGCGCTTGCTAGCACTGGTTCCAAAAGTGATCTGTCTACCAACTATTGTTTTTCAGTTATAATTTGTAAAGGTAACTATTTGTTTTTGCTATTCCAAGCTATGTTGACTTCTTTTTAAATTGACCATTACAAACAGGTTTCTCCTTAAATTCACTGGGAAGGAGGAAGAAATTAATCTTTTGGGTGATGGGACTGAGAAACCCGAGTTTGGTGAATGGTCATGGATGACACCAGAACAAATAGTTGAGCTCGTGAGTGCTCCTTACTGTTAAAATTTTGAATCAATTATAGGTCGATTAGCTTTGTCTCTTTTGTTTATTTAATAGTTGCTGTTCATTTCTCATTTTGTGCAGGCAGTGGATTTCAAGAAACCTGTTTACAAGAAAGTTTTGGAAGTTTTTGCTCCCTACCTCCAATAATATCCTGTCGAATTGCAAATACTTTGCAGCTCCACTTCTTATCTGCCGAGTACCATAGTTGGATACAACAAGTTGGGGGTTTATTACTTGGGTGTCACCAGATGGCATCCATTTTTCCTTGTGTGGATCTGATATTCTTGATAGAAACTTTGAAAATGAAGTGATCTGCTAGCAACTTATTGTCTCAATTGCAGGGAATGTCTTCTCTGCTTGAAAAACTTACACGGTTCTAATGCAATGTTGTCTGGACTACACATGATTGGTATGGTAGAATGCCATGCCCTTGATCAAGTTCACAAAGCTAGCCAAAAACAGTTGGGACTCCTGAAACTTCAACAATCCAGAATTTCTAAGCAAACAAATTATGCATAACCTTTGTTAATAATGAGCAATTCTTTTAACATAATGTCTCTCACAAGTACATCGAGCAAGTTCTATGTATACATAATAGTAATGCATCAGTATATGGAAAAACCATTGCTCGAACCTGAGCTTGTTAACCAGGGATGACAAACAATGATATAAACATATCAAATCAGAAGAAAGGAAAACAAGGGTTAATCAGCAAAGGATTATTAATCATCTTTAATAATTAGACTTGCTGACGTAGCCTCTGAAACCAAAATGAGATTAGAACCTTGAGAACTTCAAATGGAAATATCTTGAATCTGTGAAGATGCATCAACTTTCAAACGGCAGCATCTTTCAAACGACAACATTTGTTCATTCATCTGGTCTCCATTGTCGAAGGGATGAAATGTTTTACAAAATGCATGCCATAAAGAAGAACGGCGTCAAACATAGACTACGTTTGCAAACTGCTTTAGTTGGCTTGAACTCACAAAATCACCAGTACTTATCATATAATCTTCAACTGAAGCACAAGCTCAAGTATGCTTTGTATATAAAATCACCACATGAAAAGACCAATGATCGTACATCATCTTGTCATCGGTCAATTATATTTTGTATATGACCGGTGATCATCCCTGCAACAACTTCAGGAGAAAACCTTCTGATCATGTCCTTCCTTGCCTGCTTACCTTTAGCCTTGGCCTCCTCCGCATTACTAATCACATGCCTCATAAGAGCTTGAAGCTCAATAACTGATGGTTCAGCCCACAAATGCCCCTTAAATGGTCCTTCCGTTACTTCACTCATTCTATCCACTGGCAACGGGTAGCTATTCTCCTCTGTTAAATACTCAGTAGGCCCTGACCAATTAGTTGTTATTACTGGCAAAGACATTGCCATGGCTTCCACAATAGGTCTCCCCCATCCTTCTCCTCTTGATGGAAGCACAAATGCATCAGCTGCCTTGTACAGTTTTGGCAAATCGACCTGAGCTATGTGGGTATCAATGACACACACAGAAGCCCACCCATTAACTGGCCTTTCCATATGAGAATCTTCAACAAACTGGACAATCTTGTTGTCAAAATCTCTACTAGAATGATAAGGATTAGTCAACAAGTACAAAACCACCCCATCATCACTGGAGAATTCTCTCAGGTATGCTTTGAGCAACACATCCCATCCTTTCCTAAACTCCCACTTAAAGACACTCAAGAACACAAACTCCTTTCTAGGATTGGAATTGGGAATTTTTGCACCTAAAACCAGATTCCCTTCGGAAGCAATGTCCAATGGCTCATACTTGGAGGGATCAAAGAAATTCACATCAATAGGCTGCACAACTTTCACAACCTTAGCTGGATCAACCCCACTTTGCACAAATGTAGACACATGAAAATCAGTAGGAACCCAAACAGAATCCATTCTATTACAACGCTTAACATGTTGAGAAGTCAGTCTATCACTCTCAAACATGGTCCTGCCAATGACAAACATGAAATTATGATAACCAGTTGGAGGGCAAGGAATGGTTTCAAACAATGGGGGATACCAAGCACCAGGCTCACTATGGCAAACCACGATGGTCTCATTTATCCTACATTCTGTTTGATAAAGCCGAATTGCCAAGTTCCTGATATCTTGAGGCAATCCCTCCCAAAATTCTAGGGACTCTAAATCACCATGTTGGTCAATAGCCAATTTGAAACTGGGCTTTTCGAGACTTTTCATGTATTCATTGAGTGCTAAAACATAAGACCATGCTTCTGAACTATACCCACCACCTGAAAGGAAGGGAGCCATCCATAGGACACAGTGAGGGGCCCTGGAAATAGGATTTGGCGAGTGGGATTGGTCAGGATTTGGGGTTTTGAGCAGAAATGATAGAAGGGATTGAAAGAAAGTTGGGTGGCGTGAATTGAGGCTTAATTTCAATTGCTGGATTCTGTAGTAGTTTGGTCTGCTGAAACTAAAAGAGATTGCTAGAAACAGAACAAAGATAGATGAAGAATAGATAATGAAGGACTTCAAATTTGGGGTCATCTCATGGGGGCGAATATGCACTACCAAAGCTGTAAGCAAAGGGCAGAGAATCCACAAACAAAAATCAATGATACGAAATGATTTGAAATGCAGCTATACCATTAGAGAGATAAAGAGTACCTGAAACTGGGTTAAGCAGCTATAACTCTTAACCCTACATCCATTTTCTGAAACATATGGCTTTTGAAAGTGGCCTTAAAGTTGCCAATACCTTGATGTTGATTCTAACTGAACCTGCTTATAATTTGGTTGTTTTAAATGGAATGATTGATGGGGTGTTTATGGCAAAATTTATGAAGTGGTTGATGGATGCAAAAAGAAAGAGAAAATTGTTAGGAATAGCCCTCCAAATAAGGTCACTTAAAAAATGACTTTCACTATAATTTTAATTATTTTTAGATAATTTTTAATATAATTTAATAAAATTACTCTTTAAATCATTTAATTTAAATTAAGTAGTTTCAATTTCTTTCTCTTTTCCCGTCATTTAGATAAAAATTTTAAAATTAAATCTCGATTTAGTTATCTCTTTGTGTAACTCCCCAATATCATCGGGATATATATCTCATCGTCAAGTTCTCCAATACCATCAAGGTCTACATCGCCATTCAACTTTCTCACCATTTCAAAGTACTGAGATGACATCAAAGTATTTGTTATGGGTTCTTAAGTTAATTTTTTATATTCATAAAATGTAAAAGTTGATGGGTAAATTACATGAGTTTGAAAACTTAAATCTGGTTAGAAGTAATAAAATCAATCAGTTTATAAGCGATGCGTGAATATTTGTTAGGCATTGCGTCGCTAGATATTAGGGTGTGTGACTGGATATTAAGAATCGTAACCTATTTATGTGGCATTACGTAACTGAATATTAGATAATGTGGGACTAGATAGAAGGCAATGTGAGAGTAGATTATAGAAATTGCATGAGTTGTGCATTGCGTGACTTGTTTGTAAGCATTGTGTGACTTGTTTGTAGTAATTGTGTTACTTTATCTACTTAATGCTGAAGTTGATTATTTATTAATTTAGTTCCCTTAATAACAAATTTTACAAAATTATAAGAAAATTAGGAATGCTTAATAATCAATTCAATCTTCTTAATTTCACTTATATTGGTGCAGAAAACCATCTAGTTCAACTAACACAGAACTTTGAATTTCTTTTTAAAGCACTTAATGCATTGATTTATGAACTAACCATATTCACCAGAAAACAAGTCTAAAGCCATTGAACACCCTACCAAGAGTCAGCATTCATGCCTATAAATAAAGGAAACCATTATCCATTAATCAAAATAATCTGAGGAAAAATTTCAAAATTCTAGTGGCATCCAAACATTATAGAGTAGAAAGTGGGAAAAGGGTTACTGCTGAAGAGGATATCCCCAACAATGTTGTAGCACATCTAGTCAAGTTGATGAACCAAATTGAGAATATGGAGAAAGACATGCCTGGTTAATGGATAAGTTGTTGGTTAGGACAAAAGTCCTGCAAAAAAAAATTCTGGGCAATAACAAGATTCTAGTTAAAATTTATGAAATCGTAGATGAGATTAAGAAGAAATGAACCATGGTTCATATTTTGTATCATTTGTTTTTTGTCAGCTAATGAATAAAATAAAAATATTATTTGATCATATATTTTCTTGGTTTAATTTATATTATGCTGAATAACTTGGTTACTTTTCCCAATTTCTTAATTTTCTATTTATATAAGAGAAGCACACGTGAGTGGATGTTAGGCATTGCATGACCTATTATTAGGTATTGCGAGACTAAGTTATAGGCATTGCGTGAATTGTGCAATATATATCTTCTATTGAGACACTGCATGACTAGTTAGTATGTATATTGTGACTTGTTGTTATGTATTACGTGAAGCTGGGTCAGTATGTGACTGGTTATGTTGGCGTAATATGAGTGGATATTAGGCATTGAATGACTTATTATTAGGTATTGCAAGACTGGGTTATAGGTGCTAAGTGAATTGCGTAATGCATATATTATGTTAAGACATTTCTTGACTATTTTTTATGCATTGCGTGATTGGTTTTTATGTATTGCGTGACCTATTGTTATGTATTGCGTGACATTGGGCTAGTACGTGACTAGTTATGTTGGCATAATATGAGTGGATATCGGCTTTGAGTGACTTATTATCAAGTATTGCGAGACTGGTGGTGCGTGACTTGTGCAATTCATCTCTTATTTTGAGGCTTTTGTTCACTAGTTTTTAGGCAATACGTGAATATGTATTAGACATTGAGAGACTAACTTTATGTTATTCTGTGACTTAAGCATTGCGTAAGTGGTTTTTATGCATTGAGATGCAATTTTTGATAAATTGACTGATTGTCACACTTATTTTTTATTAAATTTCAGCAGCCTACCAAATGTGAAGTTTATAATTACATACGGTGGTCATTGGGTCAATGACATTTATAAGGGTTGTGAGACACAAAGGATGGGCGTGGGAGTGATTTGTCATTTTCGAGCCTAGTGAAGTTGGTTGAAGAGGTTATTGGGGTCAACTCACATAATAATGAAATCCAGCTACATGCATCGCTTAGTCATGTTGTAGGGGTTTCGCATGCAATTATCAAGGATGCTGAAAATGTAGCCAGTATTATGTGAGATAAGAGGATAGTTGTTGTGTTTGTGACAGTTAAGGCACGAAATGCAAATGATATTCCACATGAATATGGTATCCAACATAATAATCACGTATAATAGAATGTTAATTATTCTGACATACCACACTATGTATTTTCTAACAAACAACCATGGCAATCACGTTTGACATATCCTCATGAGTTTGAGTAGCCCGGTACATACATGAGGTGTTTATAAATG